AACTGGAGGAATGATCGCTTAACTTCCTGTGGCTGTGGTGAGGTGGGGGCCTTCTCCTTATTGGTATTTGATATCATAATTGCATTGGGATCCACGAGTCTGTAGGGAAATTGCAAAATTGCCAATAGCGCTTTTCCTTGTTGCCGCCGACGGGGATTCTGCTACTATCGCCGGGATGGAATGTTAATATTTCATGTGAGGTTGAGGAGGGAATGTTGATACGGGAATGATTTGAGAGATTGTAAATTGATTTGAGATATTGTAGAATGATTTACGAAATTCTGGAATGATTTGAGAACTTTTTTTATTACAAGTGAATATTTTATTTTTTCTTACAAGTGAATATTTTAATCATTATATTAATTTAACACAGAGATAAACATTGTCCTTATTTTTCATTACAAGTGAAGACAACAGAAGAATATTTTCCTCCTGGTACAAGAGAAACCCGAAACTATCGCTATTATTACACACTGTCTTGTACCATAACTTACACTCACTGACCCACCCTTATCCCCGGCTCTATTATTTATGGCTATTATTTACTGTTCTATTGTTTAATATTTACTGCTATAATGTTTACTGCTCTATTATTAAATGGTTTATTGTCTACTGCTCTATTATTAAATGCTCTATTGTTTACTGCACTATTGTTTATGGCTATTATTTACTGCTCTATAATTCACTGTTTTATAATTCACTGTTCTATAATTCACTGTTCTATAATTCACTGCTCTATAATTCACTGCACTATAATTCACTGCACTATAATTCACTGCACTATAATTCACTGCTCTATAATTCACTGCTCTATAATTCACTGCACTATAATTCACTGCTCTATAATTCACTGCTCTATAATTCACTGCTCTATAATTCACTGCTCTATAATTCACTGCTCTATAATTTACAGCATAATGGGTACAGCACAGAGAGTACAGTCTCCACCAATTCAGGCAAAAACAGATCTTAAAAACTGGTGTAATGAATAACCAGAGGAGTGGGGCGGGGGCAAGATAGTGTCATGGTGGAGGTGAAGCAGTTAGGGTCATTACAAGCAGAGGATGAGTAATTAACTTGACCCTTAAAGCATAGGCACACCTTACCCCTCCCCCCACAGCCTGTTAGTACCGGTCAAATCAGTCTGAGTGGCTGGCCAAACAACCAGTCATTCCTGGAGCTGTGATGAATGGATTGGCTAAGTAACTGCATCGGGTTCAGTGGTGCGTTGGTGATAGGAATAGTGGGTAGGAGGGGTGGTGAGTGGGTGGGTGGTGAGTGGGTGGGTGGTGAGAGGGTGGTGGTGGGGGCAGGAGGGGGTAGTGGTGGGGAGGGGTGGGTAGTGTGGGTGAGGTGTGGGGTGGGAGGGTGGTGGTGGGTGAGGTGGGTGGGTAGAGGGTGGGGTGGGTGGAGGGGTGGTGGTAGGGAGGGGTGTGGTGGTAGGGGGAGGGGTAGTGATTGGGTGGTGGGTAGTGTGGGGTGGTGGGGTGTGGGGAGGGGTGGTGGGGAGGGGTGGGGTGGTGAGGGGTGGGGTAGGGTGGGGAGGGGTGGTGTAGGTGTGTGTGTGGGTGGTGAGATGTGGTGGTGGAGGGGGTGGTGGTGGTGTGGAGGGTGTGGTAGTGGTGGGTGTGGGTGGTGTGTAGAGGGTGTGTGGAGGGGTGGGGTAGTGGTGGTGAGGTAGGCTGTAGAGCATTGTGGTGGCATGGGCTGGGTAAAGAGGCTGTTGTTGGTGTGGTGGTGAGTGGTAGTGGGTGGTGGGTGGGGGAGTGTGGGGAGGTGCAGAGGAATAGTGAGGGGAGGTGTTGTTGATGATTGTGGTGAGGGAATTGATAACACCATTCCATTCCCCTCAAGAAACCACCCACACACTACCACCCAAACTCTCTCTCTCACATACACCTCAGCCCCCAGACGGTGATTAACCCTGACCACCCTGTTGACGTTGCCACCCGGGAACCAATTAAAAACAAACATCTAGACTGGACCAAGCCCACTACCACAAAACACCACCATACCACCACAACACACCATACCAGCCACACCAGCCCACCACCACAAAACACCACCACAACACACCACCACAACACACCAGCCCACCACCACAAAACACCACCACAACACACCATTGTTATAAGCCTGACAGACCAAGAGCAAATATTTTAACACCGATGGAGCAACATTAATCTGACACCACCTACAGATTAGCACACCCTTATTTCACCTTAAGATTACCTACTCCAACGCTAACCTAACCTAACCTAACCTAACCTAACCTAACCTAACCCCCCAGATAGAGTTAAGGCGTCTAATCATCAAGTTAAAGCAATTTTTTTTTTAAATATATGAACATCAAATCATGTCAGTTATTTTCACCAGAAGTTTAAATTCAGTTATAATTTGACACAAAAAGACCAGTCACCCCTCAAAAACTATCTGTACTCGGGGTGATCGATGACTTCCAGAATGAACACTGTGACTCCTGTTGTCTCGGTAGGGTTGT